CAACTGATCGGTCCATGAAATAAACCCAAAATAAAGACATTAATCAAGCGAGTTCTGGGGATCTAACATCCCCAACAGACTCATCAATGGCAGTGCGCACCCACGACTCCTTCACCTCGCAGGATTCGAACCCAGGACCTTGGGTCTTGTGCGCGAACTCCTAACCGGCTCTGAACCACTGAGCCCGGTGGTATCCAACAATGTGAATGTCTAACTCTGATCAATCTAGGGTTATTTTGCGTGACCTCAACCAATTTGTCTTTGGTAGTTACTGTCTATCTCTATGTTTACCACTGATATTCATGTTGACGATGATTGTTACATTGTTCCCAATAGCTTTTTTTTACCTCTTTATTTATTTTAAGGTCAACTAAAAATAAATTCATTGATGTGAAAGTAATCATCATTTCTATCTAGTTATATATATCTACATATACATATACATATACATCTATGTACATACATAAATGAATGTGTAGCAGCACTAAACGACTGTATACACTGATTACTAATCTAATCTAATCATCAACATCATCATCACCCTCTTCCATCTGCGCCTCCTTCTCCCTCACTCACCCTCACTCTCTCCCTCTCCCTTATATATATATACATATATATCTAGTCTATTGATTACATGATTATTATATTGATTTCATTTTATTCTGATAATACTTTAATAAGAAATGGAGATTAGATTACTCGAAAGTCAGTTTTCTCTTTCTTCTCCTCTTTTGATATATATATATATATATATATATATATATATATATGCAAGCTAGTGTGTTCGCTAATCTCCCACTTCAATTACTGCCATCTTACTAACCAGATAAACAGACTGACCTCTACTGGCTTATGTATAATACATATATATATATATATATATATATATATATATATATATATATGTTCATGTCTAATCGAATATCAGGACACATGGCTTACTGGTGTATATAAGCAAATATTTAAAATCGAAACTATTCCACTACTACTACTACTACTGCTACTACTAATACTACTACTAATACTACTATTACTAGCTTGAAATTTTCTGTTTTTACTCTGTTCATTTCCATAAGAATCATGTTTAGAAGAAAAAAAACAGAGGAAAAAGAAGAATTTACTGTTTTACAATTACTGTGAATAGTTAGCTTGTTTATGGAATGTTGTGTACAGAAAAAAATCTCTTATACTACTGACTATTAGTAAAAAAAAAACAAATAGTTTCCGAAACGCATTCAGAGTTAGATACTACTATAACTTTGGGAAATTTTTCAATACAATATGCATAACGGTAATTTTGATCACTTCTCCTAAGGATATAAAATATCTTTTAAACAATTACGGGTTGTGAAAAAAACAAATTCCAAGGTCACATCTGCTGTAGCTTTATGAGGAGTAATACGCTTTAACCACAGTCTTGATAGTAAAACTTCATCGATTATCTTTGCCGTGTGAGTTTGAAGTTTAATAGATTGGTGGGAGTTTAGAAGTTAACTAGGAAGTAAGTAAGTAGTTCAACTGTTCAATAATGTATCAAACATATTAACTTTTTTTTTGAAAAATAATGTACAAAAACCTTGATCAAGCCTTTTCATTCTCTCTGTTAGTAATTTTCAGTTGTAACTGTTGATGATGGAGGTTTTGATAAGTTAGAATATTGATTTTCATAATAGATTAAACTGTCATCACTGAAAGTTGAAATCTTGTCGTGAACTGAAGGGTTGCAGAGGTTGGGCATTCGCGCGCACAACCGAAGGTCCTGGGTTTGAACCCTGCGAGGTGCAGGAGTCGTGGATGCGGAGTGCTGATGAGTAGTCCCATACCAGGACTTGACGGTCTTACGCCTGCACGTAAATACGTCAACTTGATATACTTAAACTATTACGAGTTTACCTAGTCGGAAAACGAGAGCGAGGATCGAGGATCTGGTGACACGCCATGATACTCAAATCCGATTTTCCCAACCCCCATATTTAGTAAAAATAAGAAGACAAGACTTGATATGAAGTAGAACGTGTATTCTACAAGCATTCAGAAAGCACGAGGTCCAAGTCCAGAAGAGAATCAAGATCCCGGACTAGGGATCCGGGACCGAGCCCTGGTCCAGATAATGCATATTTATACATTTTGGTCGAATAGGAAACAGCATCGAATTCTGTGGCATTGACAGTTAAGACGACCAATAGGAAGTGACATTGCCAGTCCGGATGACTACTAATAGACGACATTGACTTTGATAGTTAAAACGACCATAATTTTGACCAATAGAAATCGACCAATAGGATTTGACCAATAGCTCTTTTAGGATATTCGATGAATATCCTAACAGATGGCCATCCAGTGCTTCCAGGTTTCTAACGCTAGTTTAACCATGATTGATTGATGATTTCAATATGAACTGAAACTACTATCACTGTTACTGTTATCGATAAAATTGACTGAACTGTAAGATATAAAAATATATTGAATTCCAGTAATTTGTTAAGTTAATATCAACTTGTGAACTCTATATATAAATATTTTACTTGGACTAATTTTCACAAAATTTGGTTTATTCTAATCTCATTTTTTGTTAGATCGCGTTTTCTTATTACCTACTTACTTACGCCTGTTACCCCCAATGGAGCATAGGCCGCCCACCAGTTTTCTCCAACCAACTCTGTCCTGGGCTTCCCTCTCCAGTTCTGTCAAATGTTTGTTCATTCCTCTCATATCTTTCTCTATTTCTCGGCGTAGTGTGTTCTTTGGCCTTCCTCTTTTCCTTTTGCATTGAGGGTTCCAAATGAGGGCTTGTCTCTTGACGCAGTTAAGTGCATTCCACAATGTGTGTCCTATGCACTTCCAGTACTTCTTCCTGATTTCCTCCTCCTTATTATCTTATCAACATTTATGAAATGGCCTAGTTGTTTTGCATGAGCAATCCTGTAGCTCATGTATTGGTTACTTTTTAAATAAACTAAATATTTACTTCACTAAATGCCACGTCATTAGGGTTAGATGTTAAAACCTCACCATTAGACTTGAAGATTCTGGATTTGACCCCCCAATGGGTGGGGTTGTAGATACACACTACCAAATAGTCTCATACTAGAATAAAACAGCTCTTTGCTGATTTCTGTTTTTCACTGGTTATCTAGCTAAGATCAGTCTAAAAGATTCCACAACTATTTCCACAAACCACCTATAACAATAAAGAATCAAAGTTTGTTTATAAATATGCTTGCTAAAACATACAGTTCTGTATGTTTTCACCCATACGTTACCAGAAAAATCTAAATCGATACCTTACAAGCAGTGCAAAAATGATCTATTCCCATACTGTAAAGAAAAAAGTTGAAGCTTGTGAATAACACACACCTTCGAAGATAAACTATCTGAGTAGTTTTTCGAATGATTGCGCGCATGCATGAAAAAAAGTGACTGTTATATTGACCACTCGTATTTATTCCTTATTTCTAAAATTGTAATTCAACTGGGATTTGCTACGCGATAGATTGATGATGGCAGTTAATAGAACATTTAGCGTAGTTGATATTGTATTGATATCTTCCAGCAAAAACATTGATATCTACTCAACCAAACGATAAATTAATTACCTTATTTAGCCTATTTGATATGCATTTACAAACCTAACTGTTCCCGGGGGGAGATAGCTAGCTATGTTGGACAACGTATTGTTAGACAACATCACCAACGGAATGAGGGAACATCTCTCAGCTTGGTTTAGAAAGGGGCAAACAAAAACAATACTTAACTCTGCTTTGGCACACTTGCTTGACACATCGTAGTCGCATCGTTTATAATAAAACCTAATCATTTTGCCTGATCTATTGTGGTGTACTTTAGTCATTTCTCTTATCTTTTTTACACATAACATAAAAATCATAGGGACCCGAGCCTAATTAATTTATGTGTTCAGGAGAAATTCATGATGTTACTGTCCTCTCTTCCTTGGTTATAGAATGAATGATTTTATTGAATTTTTTTTCGCACACCCTGTAAATGTCCATTTATCCCCCAACTTTGGCATACATCCATTCTTGAAAATATTCACTAGATTTTCTCTCTTATTTTTATTCTATTGCTCACTACTGGTAATACACCTGTTTACTTACAATGATCGATTTGCACGTTTTAACTTTATTGTATGTCTCTTTATGTAAACTATTTAATAATTGTGTTCATTGTCTTGATTAGTTTAGTGCTGCTTTCAATTGAATATTCATGTATATATTAAAGTAGAGTCTAATGACTATCTAACTGTTGTAACGGTTCGCTTAAATGATTCCCAGTTAAATCCTATTGATTAGTATTCTCTGACCACACTATACACTGGACAAGTTCCCAAGAATCAAAAACACGGTTGAACAGGAAAAGATTATATTCCAAATAGCAAGGTTAAATGGAAATAAGAAGTCAAAGGTGATGGCGAAGGCGAAGGCGAAGATAGATACAACGTTAGTCTATTTATAGTATTTACATGAGAAGCTTCTGGATAGAAACTCACGTGATCGACTGGATTAGATTTAACCGATCAGCATGCAGCTAACAGTACGAGAATTTTCTACTCTGTTCTCTAAGAATCGATCAGGCGCTGATTGGATAGGAAATTAGCCAATCAGCGCGTAGCAACGTGGTCATCCTTTGATTCCACCAACTGATAATAATACTGTTTATTTATAGATATCTATAGGCCGTGACTAGTGGAGTTCAACCCTATTCGGGTGTAGGCAGTAACTAGCAAAGACAATGAATGAGGTTGTACAAAAATCCTTAGATTGATCAGAGTTAGACCGAAGAAGGTCCTGGGTTCGATTCCTGTGAGTAGCAGGATGCACACTACTGATGAGTCCGAAACCGAGACAAAACGGCCGTCTACAGTGCTTGCATATTTTTATTAAATGGTCTAATAATAACTGATTCATAATTTCAATGTAAAACCGATGATTTGCATATGTCTCAATTCCATGTTATGTTGTTTGTTTTTTTTGCATTTATAGCTGTTTCTGGAACATGGACACCGCATAAAATTCAATGTTTTGAAGAAGCTAAAGCATTTGACAAAGTCAATGAACGTATGCCACCTCATTTAGATTCAAAACAACAATGTTGGCCGTATTCTTCTTCGACACCAACAACGAATACTAATACAAATACTAATAATACTGCTTCTGGACAAGATGACGCAATGAAATTATCCAATTCACATATTAAAATTATTCATGATTCAATTTTAAATGAAAATAATAATAATAATAATACTGATGATGATGCTTTACTAACATTGAATTCACAAAAATCCTCTATGCCGAGACCACCGTCAATTTGTGAAGAACGTTCATCCGATGATGATGCTGATGCTGATGAGGCTGGTGATTCTGATGTGGATAATAAAGTTAAATCGGATGATAAAAAAAAATCAAAGTCACAATTCGATTCCGTTCGTACATTGTCGAATTCATCAAATCAATCGACTAGTTCTTCTATTACTAGTACTACTACTCCTTCTACGTCTACTACTACTACAAGTAGTAGTAGTAGTAGTAGTACACCACAATCTAGAACAGTTATCACACGAATAACACCGACTAAACAAAAATAATCAAGAAACAATCATTCAAATGCTTCCATAGAATATTCTCAATTCTCAATTCTACATAATCTTTGTTGAAAATCCATCCAACCCACATATATATATATAGAGAGATATATATTACATAATCGTTATATATACAGATATATATATTATGTAATTCATACTCTTTCCTTCATTTTTTTTCTCTCCGATTGGTTGGTTGCGTTTTATTTTCTTTTTTCTCTTGTTTGTCAATTGTTTTTGTGTTTTGTTTTTTTACTATTGTTGTCGTTTGTCCGCTTCATAATGATGATGATCGACAATCGATGATCGACAATCGATAATCGATAATTGATAATTGACAAAGTTTTCTCTCCCTCTCTCTCCCTCCCTCCGTTTTTTTTTTTCAAAATTTAGCTCATTCCGTTTATTGGTGTGTGTGTGTGTTTATTTTTACTCTTTGCTAATTTTTTTTTGTGTACATTTCCTCCTCTATGGTGTATTTTCTCGTTTGTTTTGTGTTTGTTTTGAGGTGTGTGTGTGTGTGTAGAATTTTTAATTGAAATCAATGTGTGTGCTGCCGTTGTCCGACTTTCCCGCCCTCCGCCCTCCGCCGGCCACCTGATGAACTAATCGTTGAACTAGGAAAACACTAGTAGCTACGTTATTCTACCCAATGTCTCAATGTAGACAACACAATCAATCTACACTGCTTTTCTTGGATACACTGATACGGATACTGATGACGATAATGTATGTTAATCATAGCAATGTCAGCATTTTCCTCAAATGACAGAATACACTTAATCTAGTTGATACAAGTGTCTATTTTTTTTGGTTTGTCTTGTGTAAAAATGATTACACACTGTATGCACAAAACACAGCAACAACTACAACTACAACAATGATAATCATAATAATCCGCTATAAATCTGTACCCAAAAAACAAAGAAACCAAAAACTAACACAAATTTTTGTTTTTATATACGCTCAGTATTTCTTTTATTTTTGGTTTTAGCAACAACAAAAAAAATTCACTTAACTACGCTGACTTGTCTATTTTTTTTCAAAAAATATCTTTATCTTGGATTTTATTTATATGTTGATCGATTGTTGTTTCATCATTGTGTGTATGGATTGATTGACCTTTGACATCGGGAATCAACTCATTAAACTATTCAACATGAAATCAAATGATACATCATTGCACAATCAATCTACTTACTTACTTACTCTCTGGTCTTTAACACACACACACACACTTAATCGAATGCTCGTAATCGTTCTTTCTCCTTAAAACTCCGTCCGTGTTTATGTGTTATTTCGTTGTTGTTGTTGTTATCTGTTGGATCCGGTCAACAGTGCCATCGATCTATCTGTCTATCTATCTATTGATCGATCTCTGTGTGTCCTGTGGTGTTTGTTGCAGTAGAGGATTTGGTGTCATTATCCTCCTCTCTAGTTCTCCTTTTTTCTCTCTCTCTCCCTCATAAATTTCGGTTTTTTTTTATTTTAATTATTTTTTAGAGTTTTTCTCTTAATTTGTGATTTGGTGTTTGAGAAAAAAAAGAATTTTATTTCTATTTTTGTTGTTACGCGCACATTCAATCACAATAATAATAATAATAGTAATAATAATCATCATAGTCTACACTAGAGTTAAATTAAAACACACAAGAACAAAATTTGCACAGAAAGTCAAAAGGAAAGGAAGACAAACAATAAATAATTCAAGCTAATTATTTCAAATGAATTGGTAAATGTGATCTTGTTGTGTTCTAACCACAATGGATTATGCTTGATTTCTCCAAAAAAAGCAGTTGTTGTTGGCGTCGGTCGACTTCTGTCCAACTGTATTCATTCATTCACTGTGGATTTCACTAATGAATGACACATATTTGGATAACAATCTTCTTCTTCTCATGTGCGCATGTATGTGTGTCTGGATCAGTATTAAGTTGTTTTTTTTGATGTTGTTAATATGCTTATCATAATCATTGCTCACAGTTGTACATGAATGCATAGGTTTGTTTATATCATAAAAGAGATTTATGTTTCTCAATAGACAGATGTATTTTCATTTTTCTCTTGCCTGCTAATTTGTGTGTTCGATTCCTTTTTTTTTCCACTGACCAATAATGAATCGTTTACATTTCTTCCTCTCTGTGTGTGTCTTTTTGTGGTGTAATTATGTTTACTGTATGTGACAGCATCCGAGTTGTCAATCAATTCTCAAATCTTCCCGGGTTTTTTTTCTTTTTTGTACAGTGTCATCCAAATATTCGACGTTCAATATTCACATGACCATCTATTTGTCTTTTGTGTGTGTGTGTGTGTGCGCGTGTAAATCTAACGATATGCGTAGATTTTCTGTTGGTTTCTTTTGCCATCGGTAATCATGACTTTGTTTTACTGACATCATTAAGTTGTTGTCACTGCACATGTATGTATACTGCCGGTTATCATATTGTCAAGTCAAGTTGTGTTCATTTCTTTCTTTCTCTGTGTGTGTATACACCCATCCATCCTCCGTACGTACGTACGGTACCTACGTACTACAAACGGACGTACACAATATCATGTAAGCATAATGATGATAATACACTTTCTGTTTGTTTCATTTTTTTTACACTATTGATTTTTAATTTATTGATCTGGACAGTTAGGGGTTATTTTGATTTTAATTTGTTGGTGTTGTTGTTGTTGTTGCTTTCTTATTTCCTCACTATTATTAATAGTAGTATTTACTTTTTATTCTGATCAATTAATTTACAAGTGACGTATATTTAATAAAACATGGAACTGGTCTATATACTTCGTGCGAGCGCGCGCGAGAGAGAGTAAAAGACAGACAGACAGAAGGAGGGATCAAAATTACAATTTAACATGATAACAGAATACTATTATTAATGATAGATAATTCACCTTTTCCCTAATGTTTTTTTTAGTTTTTAAATATACCACCTATGTAATATTGTACTTGTACATGATCTTCTTCTTCCTAACAATTCTTGAAATGTTCACTTGTTTTACTCTGTCAACTTTGACTAAATATATCATCTACACATTATAGTCGTCCCAGTTACATCCCTATCCAACAAATCACCTCAATGTTTTCTCCTCAATATGACCGACCGTGTGATGGATAGCAACAACAGGAAATCCGGATATACAATCCCTGTTACTAGGTATACGTGTACGTGTACGAGTTTTATACCGAAAAAGCACATATATACACATAAAAGCACATATACACACACACACACTTAACAGATTTGTTTTCCGCTTTCAAAAATATAAAGCCGAGTCGTGATTTGTAGTTTTCCAATCAAAATGATTTGTTGACAAATAGTTCTTTATTATTTTTTTTTCTCTAATTTATATTCCGTTTTATTTATGTACTCTATGTCTCATTTTCCGATATTACACACTCACTCACACACATACACATTACAGAGAAAACAATCAAACAGACAAACAATCACTGCTGTGCTCTTTTTCCTTTTATTGTTGTTGTTGTTTTATCCTAAATGCTGAATATTGTATTCATCTGTTTACGATTGATTTGAAACATTTCACACACACACACACACACACAGAGTCAATATCATCGGTGTCTAGTTTTCTCATACATGTTCTCGAGAGGATTACTATTATTAGTAGTATCATGTATTCAACTGTTCTGTTCGGTTCTGTTCTGCTCTCTCTCTCTCTTGCACACACACACATATTCTTTTCGCTCTATTCAGCAAAAAAGAAAAACAAATCAGTATTTCTCTTCTGTTGCTCTTGATGAAAAATGAAAAAAGAAAAACATACTGGACTCCTTCCCAGGTGTGTCTGCGTGTTTGTGTTTTATTTTCCTCATGTTCACACAACCACCTTGTCGCGTTGTGTTGCTGCCTCCAGTGTTGATTTTACTGTTTTTTTTTCAACTTTTTAACTTACCAATTTGAATATTATCTGAGAATTATTTCTAGTCGTTTTTTTGAAACAATACTTACTCACTTGCGTACATATATACATATAGATGCATGTATGTTGTATATGTAGTTGTGTGTGTGTGCGTGTGCATGCACGTACGCGTGCGTGCGTGCGTGCATGCATGTGTGTGAATACCTTCCTCAACAAATAAAAAAAAATTTACTTTTTGAACCTTATATACAAATCGAGTTTGTTTTTTGACTGACTGACTGACTGACGATCTAATTCTGTTGTGAGTAGTAGTGTGTTCGTACGTGAACGACTTATCACATAAGATATTGATTGAGTCAGTTCATTTGTAGGATAGTAAATAAGGAGTAGTGTGGTTAGTTAGTGAACTGTTCAGAGAACCAGGGAGTGACTTAAAAGCTGCAGGCATTTTGTCAGTTTTCTAGGATTCAAGTTTTAATGCCAACTGTCAACATTTTCAATCATAGTGATTTTAATGAAATCGGAGATTTTTGTTTAGGGTAATTCAGTCATTGAAAACAATTTCACATTCTATGGACTTTGTAAATAACATCTATGAAACTGTAGAGATATTCATCTACCGAATAGCAAATAGAAACAGTTTGACTTACAAAGTGCTAGATTGGATATAGTTAAATTAGAAATCGAATATTTCGGTGAAGCTGGTTCGAATCCACGCTTATGATTAAAAATCATATTTACTGACAAATCCCAACCTGCGCGAATCCTAGATCCACAGTATTCTGCTGACTATTTTCAACTATCCAAAATTTCCAAATAGTAGATACGATGTCAATCCTTGTTAGGCTATTAGGCGCCCTGCAACTTCTACGATACATTTCAATGCAACAATAAGGAACTAGGTAAACACTACATTTGTCAAAACATAGTAATTCATTCATGTGTATTTTAGAGTAGATTTTAAGTACTTCTATGATGTACTACTATTGACTATTACGGCTCGCTAATTCCTGTCCATTACTATGAGATATCTATCTAAAGGTAAATTTAATATACAGTGACTATCTTCACCTTTATTTTTATAGTTGTATCCCTATCCAAATGTAATTGGATTGTTTCAGCACGTTGACGACAAGTTGACATGTGCAATATCATTCAACTTTCAGCATATTCGGCTGACTGATCCTAAATAAAACCAAAAACATTGATAAACTAGATGAATGTGAACATATTACTTGCCTGTCTGTGTTCACATGCTATCTCAAGGTCAAACATTAGGTGAGAGATGGTAAAGTAGACACACTAAAGGAATAAATCAATGATGCACTTCATCCAGGTCTCAGCCAATATTCCCTTGCTCAGAAAAGTAGGAAAGATTTATTTATACCTAAGATTGGTGCATACCTTATTTTGGTTTGTCAATTTCAACTTCCTGGTCATTTGGGCAGATGCTTGACCAAACATTTAGGAATACTGTGTGTTCATCATATCTGAGACAACTACCTCGACTTGTAACAAACTTGTATCTTGAATTCCACTTCTAGCAACATATTTCAAGTATTAATATCTGATTTGATATAAATTCAAATGCATTGTACAATGTACAAATGATGATATAGGTAAGAATTAATAGGTACGAAAACGCATATTACAATAGGAAGAAATATTAAGTTTACAGAAGAATAATTATTAAATAAGATATGGAGTATTCCTGTTGTATTTTGCAGTGTCCTGTTCTGATACTGATTCTCGAACGCTATTAGGAGTTCACCTTTCTCGGTAAACAGATGAAGCACAATGATACAGTGGCACGATAGGCTATTCTGATTCGATTGTCCCCGACCCGGCTAACTGTAGCAAGAAGTCTTGATAAAGCGTAGAAAATGTATTCTACAGGCAGCCAGAAAATTCGAGGTAGCTAAGTTCACACAAACCAAGCTTATTTTGACAATGATAGCAACCTCCTTGGGAGAGCCACAGAATAGACTAATGAAATAGTCCATCAACCAATGAAGGTCAAGGATTTTCCGATTGGGAAATGAAATCTCAAGGTCAGCCGAGCGGCTTATGCGCGAAAACAAAAAAATGCGGAATTAGGACCTTTTC